AATAGTTTAAATTGGATAGCGATGGTATTACCAAACTGTTCTGTTCTATCTTAGTGTATTCGAAAAATAGACTAACTGTCTATATAGGATGTGTAAATTCTGGTAAAAGATCAATCAGTTGGAGAAATCAATTGGATCGAAAATACATACTATATATAGCCTACATAAACGTGTCTATTATAAATAAACTATTGTTCCACATTTAGCCAACGTGTAGGTGTGGAGCAGTAGCCAGCGTGGCTGAGAAATCAATATTGCAAATCCCAGTCTAGTGAGACTGTTAGATCTATTCATAGACTCTACCAAGGAAACCAGTGCAACCGTGTGTATCATGTTAGAACTTTTAATTTATACCTCTTAACTAAAGAATAATTCTCTGTTCTAATCCATTAATAAAACGCTGAATGAAGGTGTATAATCACCATTTTGAATTTTAGTGTGTTACCATAAGCATCGGAAAAAAGATCATCTTGACTTATCAACTAAAATAACGAGGTTCATTTTATCCGATACATCTAGTACCAATTTATTGATTCGAAGCAAAAAAAAACTCATCATCTACTCCAACATAAAATATTATTTTCTAACTAAACTATATCAAAAAAATTTAAGTGACAAAATTCCAGAATCTTTGTATTCTCCTACGTTTTTCTTACAGAAAGTTTAATTTTTCCATCTTAAGAGCATCTTTTATGAACAATGACATAACTTTACGATCCACGAATGTGTTCACAGTCCCTGGTTGTTGAGGTTGTACCAGGCCAGCTCGTACAACAGGCTACGCTAATGGCTGAGGCGGAGAGACCCACATCCCCGTTAATCTGCCTTGGTTACGTGATGACTTTTATTCATCAACATCAACACTGTCATAACGGATAAATTATTTTAAATCCACTCAGAACCATTTGTCAAATTCATTAAACGCTTTAGTTACAATTTCTCGATGCTATTTTTTTATCGTTTTACATGGAATACGTTTTCTGTCCTACTGTCTTTGATATTAAAGCCTATTATAATTCGCTTGTATACTCAAGAACTGGATATATCAACAAGGAGAATAAAACATTTAATATATATTTATAATTAGTTTTGACTTTTTCTAGGGCAACTAATTAGAACCCCAATGATTAACATGGGCGTCAATAAGATAATGTTTTATTCACAACCTTTTACAATCTTGTTCCAGATTCATGATTCACAACAAATGTATACCAGGTGTTCCTCATGTAAGTACAAATATTTTAGTACCAGGAGTGGTGAGTTCAAATTAAACGAAAATTAAGAAAAAATTTTTTTACAAAAACGTCTCGTTAGGGTAGAATCCGTGATTTTGATATTTTTATTTATCCTCCAATACAGTATATGGAGTATATAGGGAAAGTACCACTTCTGTTTTCGTACAACTTTTTAAGTTTATGGTTTTGGGTGGATATATTCATTTTGCCCCCCACAACTCAAAATAGTGGTTTCGTTAGTGATGCCTGTGCGTGCGTACTTATATATGTGAATGTGTATACAGAGCTAAGACCACATATTATGTGGTCAGATTTTGACGACATTTGGTATGTGGTTACTAATACAAATAGTATCTCCTGATGATGTTATTATTTTTAATTCTAGTTTATGGTAATTTTCATATAAAACGACCAGAATGATTTTCAATAAATTTTAGTACCGAATAACATAGTTCATTTAGCTTTTACAAAGCGGTATGGTGAACCAATTATTGTACAGTATATGTTTAGATTTTTATCCACAGGTTAAGTGTAAGAGAGAAACGTTGGCGCTATCTTTGTCTGTATACATAAACAATTTTCCTCCATTCATTCATACATATAACTCGCAATGCTGTAAAAAATATGGTTCAAAAGGTTGTGCAAGGTTTGTGATTTCCCCCCTGAAATGTCAACTACCCCCGCCTCTTACCTATTTTAAGGATTGCGGACAAGCTAATGGAAGTAAGTGCGCGCCAGTTTGCTGATACCGTTCATCCATTTATACATTTCAAATCGTACATAAATATTTATGAAATTTAGTATCTGATTAAAATCAGCAATAAACTATGATTAAAAAAAAAAACTATTATAAAATTATTTTTTATTTGAAAGGGCGGTCATTTTAATTTGTATACCTTATCTTAAGAATTGGGAATTTCACGTTCAATTTTTTTTATATTTAAAATCGGCCATTCTTAAGTTAATTTAAGTTGTAAGAAATAAGACGGCTGACATTTTTAAACCAAAATAATTTATTTGTTTATTTTTTTTTTTGATTATTTATATTTTAAATTGTTTACAAAGTTTCCCAAGGATATATTTGATATTTTAAAGGATATAAATTATAAAAAAAATAAAAATAAATAAAAAAATAAATAAAAAAACAAGAGACGTATATCTGGCTAATGAGGTAGTTTAGGACAAAAATATTCTTTATTTTAATTTAGTTTTGACCTATAAAAACTAGTCCTAAATTATTTGTATTTACCTACGTGACACCCTGTATAATAATGCTCAACAGGAATTGTTCTTCTGTACAATGTAAATAGTAAACACGGTATTAAAATATTGATGGTTAAAAAATACAAGTTTTAACATATTTGAAAGCAGTATAATCCAATTTAATATCTCAAAGCGAAAACGTAACAGTAACCAACTTAAAAATAAAATATTAAAATTATACAAACTAAAATAACTTACGCAACAGATAAAACTATTCAAAATTTCAAATTGGTTGTAATTTTTGCTAACCGTGAAAATATCTAACAATTAAATCAACACTAATAAAGAGTAATTTAATAAGCTATGATTGACCCGTACAATTATTATGGAACTTTTATAAATGAGGTCTGTAGAACGCCCAATCTGTTATCTTCGTTTAAGTAAGGAATTATAAAATTGTATTTACAATTTTTTTTTGCATACAAGCAGTTTAAAGTTTAGGGGCCAACGTAAAAGCAATAAGCCAAGCTAATGGGTTTGTTTACTTTGTTAATAGGTTTCTCGAGCCTGTCTACACTCTGATCCATAGTACATTTTACTGCTCTTGATACTTCAGCATTCTAATGTGTGTCAAACAGGGCAAAAACATAGGACTTGACAAAGAATTGTCATACTTGTATTAGAACAATAACCATACAAATAACTCATAAAAGGCATATTACTAGCAAAATAATAAAACTTTTCCACTGAATTGAGAAAATAATCGTACGGTAAATTATTTGTATTCTGGGAATAATTGCTACAATATGCTGCATTTTGTTGAATGCGGAATGGTAATAATTAAACACATGTGATTACTGATGTTTACATTTGTACTAATAATGCCGGGATTACTCTCGAAAAGCTGATTAGTGAGTAATGCTATGTTAAGCTCTTGAACAGAGATAAAATTAATATGTTATCAAATTTATTCAGTGTTGTACAACGGTTGACAGTTATTAATCAAAACTGTAAAGACAGAAATTAAGGTAAATTTTTACTTCTCAAAATAACGATTAGTTTTTTAGGAATAGAAAAAGATTAAGCTGTAAAATTTAAATGTTTATATAAATGAATAAACGCATACGTTTGTCTTTATTTATATAAAAAATAAATAAAGGTTATTTCCAAATAACAGTTAGAATTAAAAAATATATATCAAGTTGTATTTTTCATAAAACCAATTGATTGTTAAGGTTGAAGGAGCTCTTTATTGGCTATGAACAGCTCACTTCACAGCTACGAGCTGTTGGAGATGGCGAAATTGCTCAGCGTAGACAACAAATAGGTCCGCTATTTCAATTACCTGAATCATTTCCCCCAGTGTCATTAGAGTATAATGGACATTCCAATTTAACTTATTTATTGCAACTTTGTTAAACATACATAACAACTGTAAGGTCAGGCCAAATATATTTTAACTATGCACGAGTACGAGTAGGTAAATCAATTAACAAATAAACAGATAAACTTTAGTCAAAAGATCACTGAGAAGAAACCGCATATGTTTTCTACCAAAGTATTTGATACTTTGTTACAGTATCACTCAAAAGAAATAACAGTGTTACATAAAAATAATAACACTTTGCTATTTGTTGACGTATTTAGTTTAGTTTTATCTACTTAAGATCATCTACCACAGAAACATTCGGGCAATATGATTGTGTCGAGTCAAGTTTTTAGGTTTATAATTTTGTAGTAACTCTTTCTTTTTACCTACTTATTTTTTATCTGTTCTGTAATCTATACAAACTTACCCTTTTATTTTTGTAGTAGATGTCAAAAATTCGTGGAATTCATAAGCATTTTTAAAGGTTTAATACTATCATCACCCCATGGTTATTACCATAGCTGGTTATTGGTTTATTACTATAGTTCTAAAGTTAAAACATGTTTTGTAGCAGTAGAGATTTAAATTAAATTTGCATCCTACCATAATATTTTAAAGCCATAGTTATCTTGAGCTTTAATTTTCAATTAATTACAGTATTTTGTAGGAGTAATACCATTGACTATATGACACTGTGTTATATAGTCAATGGTAATACGCTCTAATATATTTCTATTCACCTCCAACTTATGATCTTTGAAATACTACAATAGATATTTATTAATACGAAAAGCTTATTGGCGATATAATGAAACATATTGCTAATATGTAATCAGATTTGCTTTGTTCCATCAACTCGTTGGAGTGGATTTTACATTAGTGGTATAATGTTATTATCAGAAAATTAATAATTTTATTGGATTTTCTGACAACGTCATAATAGTCCATCTATTAAATTGTAATGTCAACTTCTCCACTGTGAAATTAGTTATTTAGATCAAAGTAAATACCTATACTTCTATAGTAATGGTTTTTTGAACAATTTCGATTCGTAATTTTTTCTCAGCGGTTTTGAATAGTCCAAAGGAGATAATTTCATTTTGATATAAACCCTTCCCATTCCCACTTCGATAAATGCAACTTACCCATTTTATATTAGTAGTTTAATGGGTTCCGAACGGTTTAAACCTTACCTGGAAGACTCATCCTCCTGAATATATCAGCATTTTGTAACAGCACTATTCTGTAACAAAAAAGAATATATGTATGACTCAATCGGTAATATGTCCAGTACAAACATCTAGTAAGCATCACTCACAAGAACAGATTCTGTCTGAAAATCATTTATAATCCATCATGAAGTTTATAAGAGTCCATCATGATGCTTATTGTTTAATAATTTACCCTTTCTTTATTATGGACTGTTAAACATTTACTATGAGACCAAACAGTTCGACAGCTAACCAATCTTTAATGTTTATCTTAATCGCAAAGCACTTCTATAGTTTTAGTTATTTTAATAAAAGGTAACAAAGTAGTATAGAGTTGGTTGCTCAAAACATAATCATTTCTATCCTGATGGTTTTAATTAACCTTTCCTTGCGAGCCCGGAATGGGTTTAATATCTAGCACAGTATGAGCACTTCTTTCTTTCCTGTTATGTCAAAACCATCTAAACCACTACAATCACTGATACCTTTTTAAGATACAAATAGCATGAAACTCTTCATTTTTATCCTCTTTCGATTAATAATTTTTCGAAAGTTTGCAATAAAATTATTTAACACAAAAACTGTGTTTTATTTTTTTTAAATAAAGTTGTATATGATTCTAAAGTATTAGGTTTAGAACTGCAAGACATAAATGATATGTCTAGTAAAAGTTAGTTCTTCCATATTTTGTGAGATGTAGCTCCTCTGGGACGGTTTCGGAAGCAAGAAGTAACTTTGGATATTTACCTGGTAAAGATAACGAAAATTTATTGCACACCTGTATAGTGCATTTTTAAACGTAGTTTTCCTGTTATGTTACGTAGCTGCATGATACTAATAACAAACCTTCTTACAGTATCATCTTTTAATATTCTGCGTTTAAAGGTTTGTATGGATTGATGTGAGGTAACTACTCAAAAATAATGGCGTGAATTAGCTTAAATGTTACATTAATATACATTACTTGTCATATCTTATAGGTTTGGCTTAACCATGATTTTAACTCAGGGCTCTGCCTTAAGTCTTCTAGGTCAGCATGTTAAGATTAAGAGAAGTTTATTTGCCGTCTCTAGTGCCAGTATGAATGTTAAAAACAACTTTTATAATACAAGTAAGCTTGATATTGTGAGTTTATTTATTGTGGTAAAATGATTGTCATTGTAGTCCACGACAGTTTCTGGACGCCCAAAGAGCTGGTTGAAATTAACATGGAGTTAACGGACTTTTGGTTAAAAGACAAAAAGTAACGTATATAATACTTTTTGTTTATTTTACACTCAGGCAGTGTATGTTAAAACATAAATAGGTAATTTGAATTACCTAAAAAAATATATATTTAGTTTTAAGTTTTATTTAGTTTTATACAAATAAAATTATTTCTAACTGCACTTTTTAAAGTACTTGAACAAGACTACACTGATGTTAAACATAAATGGTTATTTATGGATAAAATGTACCTAATGAGAATACGATACGTTTTAAAAAAGAAATCAGTAGAGTTTTTGCTTCTTTGAAATCTACTCTCAGGTTTAAAATACCCTTTTAGGTCCCAGTTCATTTGCTTCTGCTCTCCTTGTTTTGAATGGAACCTTTTGTTCAAATGAATTGTATAAAAAACATAGCATAAAAATATGTCTTTGAAAGCTATAATTCCGATGATTCTTTTTCTTGGACGTCTAGTGCTGTTTTATTTCTTTAGATGTCAATTGTATTTGAATATAATTGTTGGAAAAATCTTAACTGTACAGATGAGAATAAACTAAAAGAAATGGAAGAGAGCAAAATTATTCTTTAAATTAGGGAACATAACTACTTTGAATTTTTTCAAACTGCCATAAATATAAGGATAAATATAATATAATTTTATGATTTCACAGACATACAAACTTCTAGTAGGGGTCTCCAAATACTAAGCATGATTAACAATCATACTTAAAACCCACTAATTTTAATTGAACTTAACATACTAATACTAACTAAGTGAAGGTTTTTTTATATTTAAATTACATTCAAATACACGATTAACTAATAGTTTAGTGTATTTGTACGTTTGATACATATTTAAATCACGTGATTTTATATTAGATTCGACATTGTTTTAACAGCTTGGTACCTATTTTTTGCAGTTGAACATAATAACAGAAATAATTAATCTCAATGTTCGTTTTATTTTATCTACTTTCTCAATACCGGTAGTAGTGTTATTGTCCATACGATAAGTAATTTTATATCATTTAACATGATATTTTATTTTTTGTTTTTTACCTTCTTTAATAATCATCGCATATGGGCGAATGTCTGAAGATGATACACCAGTTAGCCAAAATATAAAACTTCCTACGAAATATGTATTTTATAACAAATAATATGTTGTTTGGCAGAACATTTTCTGTTTATTTTGCTTGATGATAACGGCCATCGAAAGTATGGTAACTGATACAAAGTGTGATATACTGTAGATGTTGAAATGTCGCCTCCCCGGCAAAGCTGGCCCCAGGGACGCCGCAACTGTTGATGCTTACACAAACACTCTCCTTTAGCCCCCTTCTCTCCGCACCAAATACATTTTTGAGTCATACATGGCACATAGGCTATAAACCATGTAGGCCTCATCTGATGTGCCCATGTTGAAATATTGTTTCAAAAGACTACTGTCTTTACGAATCCATCCACCACTATAATAATATAACCACAATATATATCAATCTATCTACCTATCTACTATAATCATCTCAACGATTATCTGTCCATTATTAATTCTCATCTACTTGTTAAGTACTAAATTGCTGTACTGTATGAAATAAAAGGAACCAAGCCGATCGTCATTGAAGGGACCAATCTAAATTGATGTTACAGAAAACTATCAAAGACTTAATCGTACTTGATAACATATTTCTGCTAGCCTAAAAATGACTTACTCCTTTAGACTATGATTAAAAAGTCGACATTCTGTTTCCATGCTTAAGTTGTAAGTTTGTTTGAAAAAAATAAAAATAGTTGATTTGAGCCGTTAACAGAGTGGTCTAATGAAGATTACTTAGTGGTGCTCATTTAACTGTACTTAATTTCTGAATACAAAATCATCCACAGATGGGCCTTATAGATGGGATATATACAAGGGGGCACTGTACCCAAAATATATATAGCCTATTTTTATTTATGTATGAAACCTTTGAGTTTTTACACATAAGTTTTAAGCTATAAAAATACAAATGAAATATGGGGTTGCACCCTTTTACCCCCCCCCCTTCTATAAGGAGCGATGATTTCACTTAAAAAATTATGTTTATCTTAAGGTAGGTATGAGATATCTTGATTTTATAAATTTCATATTGTAGAGTACATTGTGTGCACAAACTGTTTTGTAAAAAATAACACCGCATACAGATATTATTATTATGTATCATATGTCAAAATGTTCAGAAAGAGTAGAACATTTTTGGTAAATAACTAAAATTCTATACATTTTTTTAAATTCCTAGTTTTTTTTGTGAAGCCCACTTAATTCTCCAAAAGTCAATGCTTACAACCCAAGTACAAAAAATAATATACAGAATATTCCATGTAAAAAATCTAATAAAATATGTATTCTCACATCAGTACTAAAGCGTAAATTGACGTTCAAGACTTTATATGCGATTTGTCTCAAGTTTTGTGTGATGTTCTAAGGTTAGATCGGTGGCAGTATGAGCGCGACTGAATGATAAATAGACTGATCCTGGAACTGTCGTGCTACTTGACGCTATTCAAAGTTAATTAGGTAACCTCAACATAGGTAAGTTTCAGCTTCCAAATCAACGACCATTACAGGTCAGTTGTACGGTGTATATCACTTAGTGCTTATTATCAAGGTACTTAACATTCCACTGTTTCACATTACACAAAATGTGCATAATAAACATTTTGTATTCTCTTTTAAACTGTAAGATGTTTAAATGTTTAGAGTAATGCAATAAATCAATGTCTGTGTCATGAGATGCGTATCTGTAAATGGTCTGGGTGGATTATGGATAACAGTTATTGCAAGGGCTTGAAAGGCAAAATAATAGCATATTTTTTACGATTTCTAAACACGCACTTGCCATTAATCCAAAAAATATCGAAAAAAAAAACAATTAAATGGCAATCGCATAAAACACAAACTCCATTAGCACCAACTATAACATAACTCCAGTCCAACTGAGCCAATATTAAATTATTAGTTAATTATTCATTGTAATGAATCATATATTGCATTAGGAGATATCGAAATGTTTCATTTCATCAGATTTGCCAATATGTATAATGGAATATAAATGAGTAGGAGTACTGTAAGTATACACACTAAGAGATTTAGCTTTTCTCTATTTTCAAAATTGTTTTAATTTTGTGAAATTCAAAGCAGAACAATAGAGAGAATTTATTTTTTAATCTGCCTTAATGGAAACATTTGCTGCATAAAACTAAGTAACCTGTGTTACTCTACATTTGGAAATATTTTGGCCACAGTTTATCAAATTTTACCAGATATATCTTAGAAGATAAGAATATAATAGAAAAAGTGCTTTATTGATTACATATTATGTACATGAAATAAATACAGTAGTTTTGTTCCATAGCGCACTGGTCATACGACCGTCTGCTGGGTTGGTATGATGTCCATTCAGTATTAATTGTCCCATATAATCAACATACGGAGCACTAAAACAAAATAAAATCACCCTTCTTTGGGCAACATATATACATAAATAAACATACACACGCATGCAAACATGCACATGTATATGCTTTAAACACACAAACAAATTTTGAATCTTAGAAGACAAGATTGTGAACCCGTTTCCAAATAAAGTGAAAAAGAACATTGCTTGGTTTGTGGCATAATTGTTACTTTTTTTATTGGTCTTTACCATTCTAAACTGCTTCAAAAATAAATTCACCAATTCGAAGATTAAAAAAGTGTTATTACTATTAGACTCGAAGCTAGAAATCTTTAACTCGGAAGGAAGGATTTTCAATTTTAATCAGAATTCACAAACCGAGAGATGTTATG